GGGCATTTCTGTTGGGTCTACGACGCTGCGACTGGTCACTCATCACCCAAATTCAACGCAATACAGTAACACCACATTCTTTGATTGACACTAAGATCCACTGACCACACAGGGGCAGTTCTACTGTCGTCGATCCGGCTGCACAACTTAACACATGGGGTGTGCATATTTCCAGATATCCAGTGGGAAAAAAGCTCGAAAATAACAGCAAGCGAGAAGAACTTCATAAACCTGGCAACAAGCAAACCATCAGTGTTTACGGAGTTCATGCGCTTCAAACTTCCCCTCTAAAGAACTGGGGTCTAGTAGCAATTAGCCTCAAGGGTTTACTCCACCTTACTTGCCAGCAGAGTTAGAAGAAACTTGGGAATTTAGGGGCTGATGTTGGAGACCGGAGACCGGGGACCGCATGCGGGTTAGCCCAAACCGCACAAGAGGCGGCCAACGTCCTTGGACAACAATTTCGTCGTACGTTCCCAAGCGTAGAGTCATCACACATCCTGCCTAAGCAGATAACGCCGCCACCAGGGTTTAATCACATATCGTTCACCTCCGCAGCTGTACTGAAGAGGCTGATGTCTCTGCGAGAGTTCAGCTCCCAGGGTGCGGACGGCATTCACCCGAAGGCATTGAAAGTTGCTGCCATGAGTTTGTCAGGACCACTAGCAACTTTCCTTCAACGATGTCTGAACGAGATGCACGTCCCCACGATGTGGAAGCACAAAATCATCACGCCTATCTATAAAAGTGGTAGCCGCGCTGAACCAGCAAATTATCGCCCGATGACACTAATTCCTGTGTTCTCCAAGGTCATGGAGTTCACTGTAGCTGAGGGTTTTATGTGGTACCTGGATAACAACAAAATTCTGGTTCCGGAGCAGCATGGATTTCGCCAAAATCGCTCCTGTACAACTAATCTCTTGATTGCTCGTGCAAACTGGACGGAATCTGTGGACGCTGGTGTATGAGTCGAAGCGGCCTACTTGGATTTCTCTAAGGCATTCGACTGTATAGACTATCACATTCTCCTCCACACACTCCAGAAATATGTAATCGGCGATCCTGTTCTGGGCTGAATAGGATACTTTCTCCCACAACGTCACCTGAATGTGAGGGTTAGAAGCAACCTGTCGGAATTCATCGAAGTTCAGTGCGGCGTACCTCAAGGCTCGCTACTTGGACCCCGCCTGTTCCTGGTTTTCATAAATGCTCTCGCAAGCGTGCTATCTTCTAATTGTTTGCTATTTGCTGTTGATCTAAAGGTATGGCGTAATATAGCTGCAGTGGAGGATTACACAGCGTTACAGGAAGACCTGGACAAAGCGTACACCTGGTCCATCGAGAACATGCTGCATTTCAACATCACCAAGTGCAAAGTTCTCAGCCTACGGCACAAGAGTATGCACAACTACCGCCTAGGATCACAAATTCTACAGCGAGCATCTCACGGGTGCGATCTCTGAGTGATAGTTCAAGATAACCTCGGTTGTTTGAGGCAGACTTAAAAGGCACCTAAGAAAGCAAACCAGTACCTCGGCCTTCTTCGCAGAGCTTTCACGAAGTTTGACCCTTCAGTCTTTCCAACAATGCTTAGAGCGTACGTGATGCTGCACGCGGAATATGCTATTCAAGCATGGCAACCCTGGCTCAAGCACCATCTCACCGCGCTTGATACTGCACAAGGTAGAGCAACGAACAGCATCAGTGGTTTGACCAGCCTCCCCTACCCACTCAGACTGAAGACTCTCAAAATATACAGTGGACGTTATCGGCGTCTAAGGGGCGATCTCATAATGGTGTACCAGATCCTGAGAAACCCCAATCACTCATGCCATTCCCTTCTGGTACTCAGTCAAAACACCCCGCTAAGAGGTCACCAGTTTAAGTTAGTCACGCAGTACAGCCGCCTGGAATGTCGGCGAAACTATCTCTCCATTCGAGTGGCACAGCCTTGGAACGCCCTTTCGGAACATGTAATTAATGCACCCACCCTATCCCCTTTCAGAAAACGCCTTGACGATACTCTGTAACATTTACACTATGTGCTATAGTCCATGACCACCAGATGCTGGCATTAATGCACAACAGACAGGGGATAGTGCCATAACCCTACTCAAGAATGAGTCACTCCAAACCCCTTGCACGAAATTTGATAAACGCTACTACTGTAGAAACTTGATTTCTGTATCCTGTCGACCCAAGATAGTTGCATATGAGTAAGCGTTGTCCTTGCTATCTTTTTTATTTTTCTGACCTAGTACGTGATCAATAACCACTCCCCTGGTTGCTTTGTGTGTATACATTCGCATTTCAAACTCCCTTTATACGACAGTGCCATTACATCTGTAAGCGCTCGAACTGACGACTCCATTATCCCTTCTCTATTTTTTTCACGCTGAACACCCTACGGGACATGTCAAGTCCCTGCTATTTTACCCGTTATAAATTATGGTTCGTTGTGCATTAAGTGATCCCAGTCGTCTAAGTCGCTAGCTACTGAAGCTCAGCCCAGTCTTTAGCCTAAAAATAATCCATTAAAAGTAAGTCAACAACACAGTCGTCTGAATGTACGACGTACTTCTTTCTCCTTCTTAAATTGGAAAGTTTTTCCAAAATCAGATGTTTGCGCCTGCTACCTCAAATATCTTCAAAACACAAATGGACAAGGCACTCGGCTCCATGTATTTTGTGGTATGAACGGGTAGTCTAGAAGGTGTTCAATTGAATTAATCTATTTGGAATTAAAATACGCATTGGTGAGCGGAAATCGGCGCAGAAGGGTGAACTGCTCTGCTATCTTTACAATGAGCGTTACTTAAGAGGATTTACTGCGCTAATTCGCACGCTACAAATTCATTTCTGCAGACTTGTCTCTAGCATGCAGTTATCCTCTGGCTTCAGTGATTCATGATTAATTTTATCGACACGTTTATCCATTGCATTCACAAGGTTATATCTCCTGAAATATCGTTCAATTGGTCTTGGAACTAAACTCGTAATGTTATTCATTGTGACACTCTTTCCTGGATATCTGTCACCATCAGATCTTAAATGTTGTGCTAAATTTTATCGGTTTACATGAGGTCAGCGTCAGTTGTACTCGACCCACCTCCATACCTGCTCTCTCTCTCTCTCTCTGAACGTGACTGTGTGCTTTCACTTCCTAATCGCTGAAAATGTTACAACACGATTTAAAATTGCGCAACTCCAGAGCTGAATGTATCTGGTCTTGTGTGAAAAACACATTTGTCCCACGGATATAAAATGTGCTCTTATTATCAATATATCAACAACTACTGGTTACTTTTCGGAAATGGTGACCCCGAATACACTGCAGTTGTAGTAAGTATAGCAGATTGCGCAACGCGGGCCTCCACAGTAAGCAATGCTACAAACCCAAGAAGAAATGTTGGTAGCACTGATAACACAATGACGCTATTAGCCCAGAAAAGCAGCGACTGTTCCAATACCACAAGCAGGTTAAATTCTGCTAAGCAGACTGTTTCCAATTCCGTAAACGTTATCCAAGCGCTGGGTTAAGGTTGTACCAAGAGAGAAAGTCAGTACAAGAGAAATTAGGGTAGCAACATCTGTCAACAAACTTATAGCTACAACCAGCCTTCTTTCCTCCTGAAAGGAAACCACGAGGAGAGGCGGAGTACTACTGGAGCAAGCACTATCAGTTTCCTGTGGGTACATCGCAGTGTTAGCTACCGGGTACCCGTGCTTCTTCGAAAGTTCAAAGAAACAACAACTTCCGATGACTGTAATGTTAGATGATTTCAGCCACTATGGCTACATTAATGAACTACTCTTCCTTGCTGTTGATCCAACAAATGTAACACTTGATGGGATCCATGCCATTTCTAAGCACTAAGGAAGACAAGGAGATCTGTATTTTGTGTCTACCTCTATCCCTGAAGTGGAACCGGTACTAGTGTCTAAAGTCTATCTCAGAAATTAACTCTTTTCGATCCGTGCCTTTCTGCATGTATTGTAAGACCAGCGTTAACAAAGAAACTACGACTCAGAAGATGACCGAAGTGAAACTCTATCCGGAATTATTTTTCAACACTAATTAACTGGCTGACACATGCTGTAAACGTGCAGTTACAACACACGATAAAGAGCAGTGATGTCAAACTTGTAAGATACTCTTCTTGAACATTTTGCCGACGGTAGCCATATCACAGATACGCACATCACAGAAAAATTAAGGTATCAACTCAAGAATAATGAAGCTAGTGTTTTGGTCACAGCAGATGTCAGTGCGGCTACATGAATGCAGATACACGATGGTTTGCCGTTTAAGCTTCGGTTAAAAGCGGCAAGCGATATTCTACACAAAGACGACATATCACCCAAGAAAATCAATCACAGTAGGGCTTTATTCGAACCGTCCATTTGGCTCCTTATGATATTTGGCAAGTCGCGTGAATTGCACTTCGTTTACTTCCCGTCTACTGCTTTTGCAGTGATTCTATTAAGCTAAACCAGCACCGAACATCCCAAAAGAATAAGCATTGGTTTAGGAAAATCCGTTGTTGGAGCTTTGAATTAGTAAGCGGCGTTGGCATTTAATTTGTTTCCCCTGTAAATGCCAACCTACTGAATTACCAGATAATTGGTAAATTATGGAACTAATGGATTAGGCTCTGCTATGTAGCTTGTGAACTATTGGGATGAAAGTCTTATCAAAATTATGGAATTCCCGGTTAAAAGCACTTGTAGCCCAAGGCCAACTGTTGACGCGCTCAAGCAAACAGGGCGGTAAAATCCTCAGCACTAATTCTGAGCGAGAGATATCAAACTCTGATCGGCTAGTTCCGTGGAACATCTAAGTTATTTTAAGGGATGAGGAATAAAGATGTTTGCCACGTCACCATTCTTGTGATATTAAAGCTGTCTCCAGTTTATTCATTATAAACATATCCTTCACTTTTAAGTTCCGCTCATAGCTAAGGCTTTTATGGTAAACGGATTGTGGATGTAAGTTTTTAATGCTATTGAGTTTGCGTGTTTCGCTGACGGTTTACGTAACGCAGCACAACTTCGTTACCGTTTATCACATTTTCTTTTACTGCAGGCGAAACGGGCTGCTATTAAATCACGCCTTCGCTGTCCTCGGGGGCCTATTGTGTGCCACCTGTGTTCACGCCAACCAGGCCGCCTTGCTGTTCGTTGGCCGCTTCTTCTTGGGTCTCAATTGTGGTATCACGACGGGTATCGCTCCGATGTATCTGGCTGAAGTTGCACCTCGCGAACTCCGTGGAACGGTTGCAGCATGCAATGCTCTGGGTATCACCTTAGGTGACGTGGTCGCGTACGTAGCCACATTGTCCAGCACATTGAACACGAACGAATTGTGGCCCATCGCATGCGGATTGTGCGTTGTGCCAGCGGCAATCTCCCTCCTCATTCTGCCATTCTGCCCAGAGAGTCCGCGTTTCCTGTTTATGAAGAAAGCTGACGAGGTTGCTGCACGGAAGGCATTTTGTCGTCTCAATTCCAATGTGAACGTTGAAGAGCTTGTTGATGAATTAAAAGAGGAAATGTCAAATGTCGAAAGCCAACCACAATTTAAGTTCACACATCTGTTCACTCGAAAGGATCTCCGCATGCCGGTGTTGCTTGCGTGTCTACTTGTGATGCAACAACAGTTCTCTGGTATAAATGCGGTGAGGCGGAACAGCGTTGATATTGGATGTTTATTTAACGCAGCTAGTTCAATTCCACATTTTCAACAGCACGGAAAGAAAAAAGATTTCGTCAGCTTGTGTGATATTGCATTATAACTGGAAATACGGATTCCATTCAATATTTGTCCCCAACATTATTTACAGAATCAATCTCGCCTAACATATCCACTCTCACTCCTCGGGCAGACCAAGTAGTTTTTCGCACATTATTTTTATTTGCACTTCATATTAACGAAGCTCATGGCCATAGAATTTTCCTTCCAAATCAAAATACATTACTTTCAGTGCTTACCTAAATCGGCCCTAAACAATTTCTATCTATGTTGTGCTGCACCAGCAATGGCATGTTCTGACGTGTGCTGAGTTGCTTCATCCACCAAATGTGTGTGGCCACACTCTATAGGACCAAGTACAGACTATTTTATGCAGATTCATATGCACTGCCGGCCAGACAACTTCCATATTTGAGGCCGAATTCTTTGGTGATGAATATAGACTAAGATACTACATGTTTGGATATTTCATTTAGATTTTTGGTGCTTATAAATAAGTAAATGACCAAACCATGTATTCCTCGACGAACCGAGAAGCTGTTCCCTAGAATCAACAGATCATATATTATGACATCATTATCATGGCATTGCATAAATAATTTTTCAAAAGTAACTACGGGCGTAAGTTTCAAATATATGTAAAACAAATTACTCAGAGTCTTTCTGCTCTTTTCTTTCACCCGTCCTTGAACCAGTGTTCTAGAATCATATGACAGATGTTTGGGCTGAGAAAAAATGTCATGAAATGAAAAGGACTGTGGTCGAAGATCTTCTGTGTATGCGTTTTAAAAATTTATTCAGGCACCACCGATACCGTTCTCGAAAGTCTTATCTTGATATTGTGATATCCCGAACATATAATTCAAGTTTTTGACGATTAAGTGCCTACTAATCGCAGGCTTAAAATTTCGCAGTGTACAGCATCTTCTGATATCTGTCGGAATTTTTTCTACATCTTTGAGCAGGGGCTCGGAAAGAAACATGGTTTTATGCTCGTTTTAGCTTTTGGAAGCATGACTTTTATCTCTTTGTCTTGGACTGGATATATGCTGTTCAAGTGTATGTGAACGTCGTTATTAAAAATATGATATTGTCGGTTTATGATTCAACAGCGATCGACTTTGTACACTACGAAGAACGCGCACTATTCTGGCAGTTATCTCAGCGAATTGCGTTGGTCGCGTCCATATGTGATACTTTGGAACTTTGCGTTTTCGTGAAATCCCAGTTCGTTCCGCAGCTTGAGTAAACTTGGTAGCTTATACTTTTCCCTTACTCATCGAACCAATGTGGTTTGACGGAGCATCTCACTGAACGTAATCCATCCGCGGATCTTTAGCACTATTTTGTTGCTAAAGTGCGGTTTTAAATGATTTCAGGTTTGATTGCCCTAATGTGCGAATCACGCTCACATCACATAAATGCAACATACTTTTTGTCATTAGGTCATCAGCTACTCATCCACTATGCTCAGAACCGCAGGATTCGACAAGAAGTACATCCAATACTGTGTGCTAACAATCGGTTTACTTAACATACTGGTGACGACAAGCGCGCTGCTGCTACTACAACACGCTGGACGCCGAACACTTCTCCTCTGGCCAACTCTGGTTCTCGCACTGGTCCTTCTGTTGCTGACAGTTACAGTGAACGTGTCCACAGATGCGACGTCTAGATCGTTGCAGCAAACAATGGGACTCGCCTCAGCTGTACTCATCCTCGTCTATGTTGGCGCATTCTCACTGGGCTTGGGTTCAGTTACCGCGTTGATTGTGTCCGAACTATTCCGTCAAGGGCCTCGCGCAGCAGCATTCTCGCTGAGTCAGTGCCTATACTGGTTCTCGAATCTGCTAATCTTGGGCAGTTATCCGAGCACTGTTGTGAGTGAAACTGTGGTTAATGTTAATCGTTAGTTAATGCTGCATGTTTATTTCTCTTTTGCCATAGGGAAGTGGTGAATTCGGATGAAATGTGATCACATTTTTGTTCAGTTACACTTCGAAAGATGTATGTTGATGGACATTGCTTTAAAGCTGCGGACGGTGGAGCGCAGGCACTCAAGTTCCAGCTCTTTGTCATTTGCTACCAGTGTAAGAACACGGGAATCCAGGAGTATCGAATCTGTTCGCTATACGTGCTTAGAAATAGCGGTACCGCTGAACCGCTGACTCAGTCTGAGACTCACCTCCATCTGGATTCTTCAGGTCATTTGTCAGTATGCCATTCTTCTCAGGCAAACAACGTAGATTTTCAAGCGATTCGTCTGACGTACAGTTAGTTAAACAGGCGTTACAACTCTAGAAACAATACGGACGGTCGTCTCCCACTATCGGTGCTTCTGGTTGCCGGTGAACAATTAGCAGATGCCACAAATCCATGGTTGAACAATAACATATATAGGTAGAAATTCGTCACATTTAGACTCACTCAGACAGCCGCCACACGCCCGGAAAAGTACTGTACGCGCGTTTCATCCTTTCGGGAATCATCAGCAGTGCGCATTCCATCGGACCCTTGGTAGGGCCGAATCCACAACTCGACTTTTGCTAGTCCGTGGTTGAGACCACTGAGCTACGGGGGGAACGGCAACGACCATCGTGAATAAGTTACTAGATGTGATATAGCGCCGCTTACTATCCACTTACAGTCGAGTTGCGGGTTCGAACCCTACCAAGGGTCCGATGGAATGCACACTGCTGATGATTCCCGAAAGGATGAAACGCGCGTAAAGTGCTTTTCCGGGCGTGTGGCGACTGTCTGAGTGACTCTAGATGTGACGAATTTCTACCTATACTATTCAACTCCCCCTACTACTCTTTTGTAATAACATATATCACGACTCCTCATCTAATATAGAACAACTGTTTGCGAAGATTTGACCATGAGTAACGGGGTTTTTCGTGAAAAATGCTGTTGAATTTTTCAAAAACCTATCCACTTATAAACAAGAGGTATTCACTGCAATTCGTTCACCGGCGCACGGTGCAAAAGCTGCGATACTGATGAGCTCAAAGTCTTATCCGCAGCTAATGCCTTGGAAGCCTTGGACCGTTTGGTTGCGTGCGGTTCAGACGCATCACTGTATGTCGCATCTGACTCAAAACACCACTTCCCATCACTGCAAATATCTTCGTAGCTGTTGGCTGAGAAAACTACTGTGTGTTAGGAAAGCACTTTTATAGAAATCGGACCCAACGTAATCAAATTCTAGTGATCCAGATAATACGATCGATTCACATTTCGAACCTCCCCTTTCCATCTTTCCAAAATAGTTAGCGGTTTCTCAAGTAGCCGCCGTCGAGTAGTATTCGGGTTTGGACGGACCGCTTTTTGAAATGCTTCCCTTAAAGTTACTTGACTTTTCGGCCAAATCTCAAGAGATGATCCCACAGATATTTGTTAATCCGCGTCCATGTGAAAGTTGCTTCCGTCAGCAACGGTACATGCAAGGCATATCCCATAGTACCAGTACTGTTCACCTCACTTCTTAAATGTTATGATAATTAGTCGGTTAGCCAGTTATCTTGCTTCACCCAACCCAAAAATTTGTTTAAACCGTTTAGCTACAAGGAGAGTACTCACCGATGAGTGGCTGAAAACCGGAAAGATTTTTGACTTCTTGGCATGTGAGTGCATCGTAGAAATTTCACCGCGGTTAGTGAACGACCTGGACCCCTACACAAGAATTAGCTACCCTAGATTTTGAGTGACTATAGACTCATTTGAAATGAACTACAATGTCAAATGAGAATATAAGAACATGTCTTGGCCTAAATCCAGCAATGCCAAACAACGACGGAAAATATAGCCAATTTGAGACGGTAATCGTACTTGATAGGAAAATTTATCCAAGGTTGTTTAGCTGTTTTCATAGCTTCAATAGCACTCCTACATTCTGCAGTAAATATAACTTACCCAACCCAAAACTCCTAAGACATATTGAATATGTTTGATAGAGAAAAGTGGGTTTCACTTCAAGTCAATAGTGCACTTCCTTCATCCATGAGTGATGCATATACAGTTAGAACGTTCTCACACATGAGCCTCGGTTAACACGCAAGGAAGCAACGAAAATGTGCTCATTTTCTAGGCTACAAATCCAGTGAGAACTTAAGCAAGTGTACGTATTGTCCATCGCAACATGCAATTAACATTATGAGTCAAGAGTTGTGATATAAGCTGGAGCTTCGGCGCGCTTCCGGGGAACGTGAGTAGGCGACTGCAGCGAGCAGCATCTGACTTTGCGCTCACATAAGGAATTCGAACCGGTGTCAAAGTCAATGGCGGTTAGACGTCCAAATAAATTGTAAAATAATGGAAACACTGAGTCACCTTTAAATAGTTCGTTAACGAAGGAAGAATAAATAGGTTGGGAAATACTAACAACTCGATTGCTCTCGTCAGTCGCTACGCAATACGGGCAAAACAAAATACGAATTAAATACGGTTCACACTTATTAACATAGATAAACAGATAAAATTGATGTGAATGATGTAATCATATCCAAGGCAATCTAATTGATTGCCACAGTTGTTTCTGGGCACAGAGCGCTATACAACTCAACCTTATCAGTAGCGCCTTGCCAATTGCCAACAATGTCGGGTTCCTGTTGCGCACTAGCACCTTGAATGAATAATTAAATAAATAAACAAATAGTTTATTCTCGAATTTGTCGAAACACACCAAACCAGGCATGAATCGTTTGGGTTCACCTGGTGACGAGTCGCCATTATGGGTTTGGTGATAGACGAGGCAGGGTTCCGGTTCATTCTTTGGTCCATTCCGCCTTGATGAGACAGCAACTGCCTTAGCCACAATGGGATGTGTTTCGCCACCCTTTGAGACAGCTGGCGACCAGTCTTGCCGATGTAAGAGTCACCGCAATTGCAAGTGAACTGGCAGATGATGTTAGAGGCCGAACTGATTGGCGAGCTACTCGGACGGCTGTGGAGAGGAATCCTTCGTGTAGTGTGAATAAGTCGTATTTGGGCGGTAGAATAGGTGCGCATTAGAGCGGACCTGAGCTTGTGACCAACATTATT